TGATTTGTATGTGCGGTTTAACGTCCTAAAACCACCATAAGATTATAAGAGACGCCGTAGGGGAGAGCTCCGAAATACCTCACGATTTAATACCGGCCACCCACTACAAAAGGAACACACGTTGCGGCACGCTAAAGGTGCGGAGGTTAGGTCAGGTTAGGTATTTTCTTAAGAAAACGTAGAGGGTGCATAGCAAGTTCAAAAACGTTTAACGTTCATAATTACGTGGCGTAAACAATTCACGGAATGCACTGAGGACGGAATGTCGCTATCGCGTTAAACTCGTAAAGGTGAATCTTGAGAATCCCCAAATTTTTTCTAAACCGTGGCACTACTCACACGGGGCCTTTTACCTACAAAAGAAAACACGTGAAATTTAGGTGTAATAAGGAGAGAACTGCAGCAAAATACCTCTTAGTTTCTGTAGAGCGGCAAGAGTGTGCACTAACGTATTGTCGTGTTGTCATTGCGACCCAAAATCCATCTAATTATACAGCAAAATTGAAACTCAGGCAAAAAGAAAAAAAAAAACTACCGCATTTTTGCTCAAAGATGGACTTTCTAGTGTGCTTCAAGCTCTTCCGAATATCAATCAATGTTTATATACGCTTTAAAACATGCAAAACGATGATAAATTCACGTACTTCTAAGGCGGCAGCAATGAAAGTCGTTCGTGCTCTATCCTGCCATTTCAAATTGTTCTGAGAGGCGGGAAACACACAGGCTTTGACCGCGTTCACTAGATAGCAGCACGCGTCCCACAAGCAGCCGAGAAAATGCTTTCCCAGAGGCAAGCACTTTGAGAGCTGTGGGGCGCGGTGTTACAATGTCCTATATATTGAAAAAAAAAAAAAAATTGTCATTGCCGGTTTTCTGTCTGGAAGATAAGGTGGCGTAATTACGTGATAATGATTTTTTTTCAGGAATTATTAGCTCCCAGCCTTCATTCTAGCGTCAAATCGGTCGTAAATCTCTCACCGTCCCACACGAAAAGCTGTATAGGTCACCATATATTCAATACGGCAAATTCGCATTGCGTAATGTTGCCTCACCTCAATGAACCAATTTTATGAACCTTATATTAAAGCAGCATTTTGGTTACGAAACGTGTTGCAGCAACATGAACAGGGGATTCTTGTTCGAACGTTCGTGGGATTGAAAAGTTAACTATTTTTGTATTTATGCTGAATTAGCTCTTCACTAGGTATTCCGTAATTTAGTCTAAAACTGGAAGTCGTTTGTGAAATATCTGCTCCAAGCTATGCAATCGATGTCTGGAAAAGCCAAAGTGTGTCAATATTGTGGCCGCTCCCATTGGCTGTGTGGAAAAATATTCAGATTGTCTGGGAAGGAAGGTACTTAGTGGCACGTTATTGAAATTAGGCCTCGAACTTTCTTGTGGTTGCCAAGTATGATAAACTGGGAGTCATTTGTATTATCGTGTCTGGTTCGGGAGATACTGTTTTTGTTTTCCGTGTGCTTCCCATTCATTTACGGTTGGGTGACCGGCCGCCACCAAGAGATGGCGCGACATAATATGTCTAGAATTCCTGGAAATGTCCGGGTAGAAAGTAAAAAAAAAAAAAAAAAAACACTGTCAATTATTTTGACGCAATGCCTGAGAACGCTGTTCATTTGTAGTGTAAGTAAAAGACTCGTCTATATGCTAATTGATTTGATTGATTAGTGGGGTTTCACGTCCCAAAACCACTATATGATTATGAGAGACGCCGTAGTGGAGGGCTCCGGAAATTTCGACCACCTGGGGTTCTTTAACGTGCACCCAAATCTGAGTACACGGGCCTACAACATTTCCGCCTCCATCGGAAATGCAGCCGCCACAGCCGGGTCGTCTATATGCTACTGCATTCAACATGTCAGTGGTTGTCTGCTAAGACCACTTATAGATATGTTTTTGTTTAGCCTCGCTGGTTTAAGATCTGACCGTTTCTTCTTGCAGGAAGCGGCATGCTTATACGAAAACTCCTGTAGAAGGCATTCAAATTTTGTGAAAAGCGTCATTCATACGTTATAGAATCTTCGTTATCAATAAGCGTAACGTATCAGGACAATAAAACTCAGTCATGCTCACAGTAATAATTTTCCTCTGCTTTAACGCTAAGGGCCGTTCCACGCGCTTCCCGCACAGCCGCGACGCACGTGCCGAGACCTTTACGCACGCAAGCGGTAGGGGTCCCGGCACGCTCTTTCACCCTCTGCAGCGTTGCCCATTGGCTTATTTGTCCCCCGCTTGCGTGCGGTAGGGGTCCCGCCATGCGTGCGTTGCGGCTGTGCGGGAAGCGCGTGGAACGGCCCTAAAGTGTTCTGTCCCGGGATCCGCCAAGAATTAGTGCACGTCATTTCCGTCACTGACGTCTCTAAACGGGGCGCACAGATCCAGCTCCGCTGCAACTATTTCGATGAATGCGTTTCACTTTTTTACAATAAAAGCTATTATGAGATCGGAACAAGGATCACGTGCGGCGCTGTAGTTGTCCACCGCCGGTGTCTGTAACCACTATCGCACGAAATAAAAAAAAATAAGGTGTAGTAAATAAAGACACCAAAGAGACAGCGAGATTTGAACCCGGGTCCCCAGCGTATCATGCCAGCATTCTACCCCAGAGCCACGCCGTTTTTTTTTTCTTTCTTGTACAGAGCCACACCGGTGCTTGAAACTCCGTTGCAAACTTGCTTTAGGCAGGCTTGATGTCAGGAAAAGAATTGCGTTAATAATAAGAATGATAAATCGTTTCATGACAGCAATGTAACACCCAGGTATCACAAAATGCGAATTGTGTAGCAAGTGGGTCGTCCAATGCTTCAACATATCGCAAAAGCTTGTTCTTGATCACCTATATCTCTGGTGCATACCAACTTCAGGCATAATTCATCGTCGTCGGACACTGCATAAAAAATTTGCTAAAAAATATTTTCAACTGCGCAGTGGATACCACGCTTCTCCGAAGAATGACGAAGGATAGCGTAGCGAGTGCCGGCCTACTACACAAGTAGGCCCGTGTGCTCAGATTTGGGTGCACGTTAAAGAACCCCAGGTGGTCGAAATTTCTGGAGCTCTCCATTACGATGTCTCTCATAATCATATGGTGGTTTTGGGACGTTAAACTCCACAAATCAATCAATCAACCTACTACACAAAAATTACGATTATTTATTGTGTAGTTCGTACCCTGCAAGTCTACTTGTAGCAGTTACCCAAAAAGTATTTAGAAAGTGTGCTCGTAGCCTGTTGAAAAGTGGGCTTGTAGCAGTTACCTAAAAAGTGTTTGCTTACACAAAAAGTGTCTAGGATTTGAAAGGCCGATCTTCAAGCTTTCGCTGTGACTGTGCTTCGCGTTCCGCGCAGGCCTGGCGGTTTTTGTGAACGACCTAAATGAAAGAGCGGTCAACAAGTATTTTGTTTTTTTCAGCAAATTCTCTCTATCAGAACACGACCTATGATAAAAGTGTACTGTCCTGTTAACTAGAAGTGTAGGAGGAGACTTTTTTTTTTTCGAAGGGGGGGGGGGGGTGGCACTACCTTGCTACGAAGTGGGTGGGGCTGAGCAGGCAGCTTGGTCGAGTGTCATTTTATGCTCTACATGGTACAGCGAAAAATGTTTTTTTGGGAGGAAAGGGGGAGTGGCGTTAATCTATACACAGGGGGGGGGGGTACAGGCCAGGTGTCTGTACCCCCCCCCCCCCTGTGTATAGATTAACGCCACTGCCGTTATTTCATATTCTTTCCCTTTTCTTCAGATGATGGCCGCTTTGATCCCGTACGCAGTCATCCTGCTGCAGACATCCAATCAACTGATGCAGAATGTATATAACTTGAACGTTACATCATCAGCCAAACTAGTGGATTACGTATCAGAACTGTGTCCTTCTTTGGTGATAAAAAAATTACGGGTCTACACACCAAATATTTTTTCGATGGGATTGCTCGCACATCAAGAACGTTCTATGAGGGATAAAGAGTACAGCGTGCGAAAAAAAAAAGATGGGCAGCCGATACGATGTGAATGCTGATGAAGCGAAGCTACGTCTTCAGGTCCATAACGCCAACGTTTACGTCACTGGCTAGTAGTAAGGACTGTCTAACCGATGAACGGACGCACGGACTGGTGGATGGACATGTGGACGGGTGGTCGGACGGACTGAGTATGGTTCGATTTTAAAGTCATATACACGGTATGACCGCTCTGTAAACGGCGTAGACGGATGATTGACGGGGACCTACGACGATGGCGACAACAGATATCGTGCAACCCTATAAGAAGCTTGGCTTCTCAATATATTATGCGAGTGTCTTGCGGTGTGTTCCACGCCACTATGTCAATCTAACTTGCACTTTATTCTTTTTCTAAGTGTTTATGATAAGGTAAAGAAAACTACCACCTGTGACTGTCTATCTTTAGATGACACCTCAACAGGTTAGCACAGAAATGGGGTAAAGGGAATAAAAGGGATAGGAAGAAAGTAACCGAAGATAATAAGAAAAAGAAAAGAGGACCCTTTCAATCTAGTTCCCCCAATACGCACCCGATTCACCGCAACACGCAACTGTCCGGAAAAGCCTACGAGAAGGCCCGGGGAAAAAAACTTTCGCCGAATAAGAAGCTATTTAAGCCAAGATGGCGCATTATATGACGAGAATGCGTCAAGCACTGGACTGGGCTCGTGACCCAGACACAAAAAAAGAGCTTTCAGATGAGCTCACGGGTGGGATTCCAAATTCAGCCGTTTAACTTGCCGGGACAATGGCTTCATGTGCAGTGAGAGTCGTGGCATACCATCTACGCACCGGAGAGTCAACCAGCATAAGTACAAGCACTGAACGAATTGCCGCCGTAAGTGTGGAAATCACTGCGTCTTTCGGGTCAACCTTGGGTTGACCCCGGGGCCGGCACATCCAGAGGAGAGGGTGATGGGGTCGTCATGCTCGAAGAAGGTGAAAGCGCACTCGTAGCAGGGCGAGTGGCAGTCGCCGACGACGATCAGTCACCAGCGACGACAGTGTCGTGGAAAGAGCGACCCTTAACGACCACCACGCTATCGCGCTTGTCGATGTTGTTGACAGCGGTCGTGTCCTTCTCTAACGCTTGACGGCACGTCATGGGGGCCTCCAAAGAGGCGATGATGACGGTTGCCTTGCGCTGGATCTGCCAGGAGGGGCAGCACGGCTTGTTGACTGAACGTTTGCCGCTGTAATAGATGCAGCGATGGTGCTCTGAAGGGCACGGTCTGTTCGCATGACCGCCGCCACAACGGAGACAGCGCTCGTCGCACGAGCAGGTGTAGGTGGCAGAACAAAAACGGCTGCAACGGGCGCATTGCAGCGGCCGAGGCAGGCGCGGGTGGACCAGCCTGCGCAGTTTCAAGAGGAACATCTCCTCTGGTACAGTGGTTCCCTCAAAGGTGATAGTGAGGCACCTGCCATGGCGCACGCAGGACAGGACTGGGACGGCCGAGGTGATGTTTGGTACGATGTCAGTGGCGTCTAAGTCGATGTCTACCTCGTAGACGACCCCAACACAAGTGTTATCCGTGAGGAGCTTGGAGTTAATGTTGAGGGAGCAGATCCTCCGAACTTTGAGGAGCTCTGAAGGGACTGAACTGGTTGCACGTCCACGGCAACAAGGTTCTTTCGAAAATTAGCGCGCACAGGTCGGGGGGCGGCAAATCCAGCGAGAACAGCCTCGTTGGTGTCGCGAAAGACGGCAAAGAAATTGGTTTTCTTCCCCACTGGTCTATAGACGACTGTGCGCCGCCGCGTTTCCCGACTGTTCTGGGAGATACAGGGACTGCGTGTTCTTGCACCAAGATCAAGTTGACTTTGGTGATCGGGTTAGGTGAGAGAGTCGGAGAAGGGACGGAGAAGTGTAGTGAGTTTTCATTTTTCTCGGTCGTCATTTTCGATGTTGAGGGTGACGAGGCCGGCGTGTGGGGCTCCCAGAAGGAACTTCAGGCAGACGAGGTGTTGATTTCTGTAGACTGATTGATTGATATGTGGAGTTTAACGTCCCAAAACCACCATATGATTATGAGAGACGCCGTAGTGGAGGGCTCCGGAAATTTCGAACACGTGTGGTTCTTTAACGTGCACGCAAATCTGAGTGCACGGGTCTACAGCATTTACGCCTCCATCAGAAATGCAGCCGCCGCAGCCGGGCTTCGATCCCGCGACCTGCGAGTCAGCAGCCGAGTACCTTAGCCACTAGACCATCACGGCGGGGCTTGATTTCTGTGGAGTCTACTCCGGAAGGGGTGCCCTGAATGAAACGCTTCTCCTGCACGCCCGCGGGCGATTGAGGTGGTTGATTGACCGTATAGGAGAGGCCAGGGATAAAGTAGTGGCTGCTCTGGCTCTGGAAACAGGCGCCAGTTCTGCGTGCTTCGCTTGGGATGCGGCGTCACGTTCCGTCCCAATGCCTTTCGACTGTCTCTTATTCACCTTTTCGGGAAGAGCTGTCTCGGCTCCCACAACAATTCATGCTTTTTGTGCTGCATATAGGACCTGGGCATGAGTGTGGGGCAGGAGCTTTCAAAGTGAGAGGACTTTTCTTCTAAATGTTATTGTCAGCACAGTCAATAGTGTGAAGCAAAGTCGTTCGTCTGTAAGGCGGCGAGGTACGCACACGCACCGAACTCGAGGAAGGCTCGGAGGGCTTGCGTCTTCGAGCGCACGGGAAAAAGTAAATCTTCCATCGTTGTGGCAAATAGACCAAGCAGACGATAGCGGTTCACCAGTACGCGACGCTCTGTGGCCAGGACAGGACAGGAGCAAATAATGTGCTGGAGCATTTCGTCATCACCACACCTTCGGCATGCTGGTGATGATGAGCGACCCGCGGAATACATGAGTGCTGCAGTCCAGGCACTGCCGGTATGCAGACTGTTAAGGGCTCGAGGTCGATAGCAGGTACGGCGGGTTTCTTTAGGGTAGCTGGCTTCCCACCGTCGTCCGCATAGCCGGTCTTCGCCAGTGAGGGGACGCGTTATGTGAGGTAGAACGAAGATTTATTTACATTATAGGAGCAAGAAAGGTACTGTACAGGGATCCAGAAGATCCCGCGTTATGTACAACAGAGATTCAGTTCATGATACCACACAAGATTCTCAGCGCTATTTACAATCATGCGTCGGCTTTTATAGCCAACCGTCACCGCCGTCCGAAGGAGGCGGTGACCACTCTTGCCACGAAAGCAGGGGACGAAGTCTTTGTGGTCCCCCCACCAGAAAGGGTGCAGATATCGCACCACTCGGCTGGGCGAAACGGTGCAAGGCAACAGGAACGCACCACACAAAGACGCACCCGGCCCACGCCTCTAAGGCACCGCAGGGCACGAAGGTAGAGTCCTGAGAGGGAAAGTTGAGCTCCTCCGGGGAGATGGCCGCTAACCCGAACGTCAGCAGCGGTCCATGCTGCTTTCAGCTTCAGGCCGTACAAACGCTCGATCCCCGGTGAACGGCTTCTACGACGCGTTCCCGCGCTTCCGGGCTGTCGGTGCGTTGAGATGGCCTCGCGTAGATGACAAAAGCCGAGTCAAGAGGTTGACTTAATGAGACCCGCCACAGTGGCGCCGTTCCCCCGCTGTTGGAGCCCGTTCAACAAAAGGCTTGCCTCGCGAAGCTTCCGTTGAGACCCAGCTGCTTCCTGGAACATCTACCGGACAGCGTCTTGCAGACTGGGCGCCGATGGGGTTGAAAGCCGCCCTAGTAGACCGGCTTACGCACAATGGCGTCTGCCCAGACGAATTGCTGGGCCAAACGTAACAAGGCGAAGCAACAACCGCCAGTCGCACTTGTCCAGGCTGGTCTCATGAAGGGATGGTGGAGGTTTGCCGCTTACCACCTGTGCGTCAGGGTGGGCCGTTGGTAGAAGCATCCGCAGTCACTGCCGTGAGTAATCTGACTGGGCTACCGTCTTGGTGACTGGCGTGTCGCAGTGGTGTGCTGCTTTAGCAGTAGCGTATTTTTTCATCTCGGATTTTAGTAAACACAATTTATTGACCCTATTGACTAGATCTTTGAGGATAGTTTCGTTGTACGAGCACTCGCAAGCACGACAAACACCGGCACATTTTTCGTGAAATCACAGACGAACATTAAAATGAAACTGGTTGCATCACGAATTCTTTTATTCCAGAGTTAGTAATCGCAAAACATTACAATACTGCATAATGCCTCATGAACGACGAACGCGTTATAGTTACTTCAACGAGTAAGTCTATCTGCTGCGCTTTCACTGGCAAGCACCACGTATTGCCGAGTGATTGCGCACAGCCGAAGGGACGGTGGGTGCAGGCGAACCCACTACGTCAACCGGCTCCGCCCGAGTGTCCATAGCAGTCAGAGGAATGGCCTCCGGCATGGGGGAACTGCCCGGGAATGGGCCTCCATGGCTGTCGGCGATGGAGGGCCCGGCATAGGCATGGCGTTGCTGCCCTTTTTTCTTGATGGCGGGCTTCGGGGCCACAGTGACGGTGGACAGCTTGCGAGGGCTGGGCCTCGCGCCATAGGTCTTGCGTTTGGCAGCCTGCGCATGACAGTGAAACAAGCGGTTCCAACAGGTGGTGCGTGTTGCAAGTAAAAAAGGAATAAGGTGTGTGGTGTGCGAGCAACAGGACGCTGGCTCGCTCCGTTGCTCGTATACCTCCATTGTAGCCAGAAGTCCATCTCCGAATCTCTCCTTCGCGTTTTGCACAGTTCGTTCTGTTCATAAATCATCGAAAGTCGACGACCAGACGAACGGGTGGGTTTAGGCGCCAGAACGAAGTGTAGGAAACGCGAAGAGAAGACCACGACCGAACGCAATGACTATTTACCTGCTCGGCCCCTACTTCAGATCACGGATTGGTTCAGAATTTATTTCTATGAATTTAACCTGCTTCAAAATACAATGCCGGGTAACTGAAATGTCCGAGTCTTGATGGCGCTGATGGACAACATGAAGAGAGCTATCGCAGAGACCAAGTAAATGTCGCAATATTATGCTGATCACCGAGCATGGTGTTGGTCTTCCGACCATGGCTGTCGCATTCCATCGGGAATGGAACGAGAAATCATAGGTGTATTGACTTGAATGCACAGCGTGACCTCCATGTTGTCTGAACAAAATCTGATACTTTCATTGAGCATTCTTCTATAGTTGCAGTGTGGGTTTGCGCATTTAAGTGAGTCACTGACTGAATTCATTATTAAGCCATTCAATCAAGGCAGCAGAACCCAACAGAACACTAACGCACATGTGTTTAAGCACGCGATTGTCTCAACGATAACCTCAAAGACAGCCGGACTCGCTGCATGTGCGTTTGGAAAAAAGTGGGTAACGATTTTGAGTACTACGTGTGTTTAGAAAAAAAAAGGGGGGGGGGGGGAAGGTAACGATTTAGAGTAGAGATACTCTACTATGGGAGAGCATAAAGCCGCCCCGTTGGCGTGCGTCGAGCGAACATCATTGCGTATGCCCTGCGCGCCGGCTGTAAGCCTGCAAAGTCGTAGCACTCAAGACCCAGGGACTAGGCAGGAGGAGAGCCCATGTGCTCCCGCTCTAACCTCTTGCTTAGCTTCTGTGTTTTCGGCGCTTTGGCTTCTTAGAATAAACCCATTGTAGGAACGTGGATTAATTTTGACCATAACCAGAACGTGCTTCGAAATCGAAGCAAACGAATGTTATTGCAATGCGACCGAAGCACGATGCCGCTGTACAAGATGCTGCTTTTAACGCAAAATTTTGGGAGCATGCCTAGTTTAGCGGACGTTCTGTAAGGATAACCAGCGGGGGTTTACTGAATAAAATGAGCTCCTTGAACCTGCAGATCAACTGGGTTCCCATAAGCTATTTTTCTGGGAGGGGTTGAACGTCCCCCCCCCCCCTCCCATTTCCCTGGCTACGCCTCTAGAGCAAACTTTCGTGGGAGTAGCTCAAGGAGCCGGTCATGTCGTGGCATCTGTGAGCGCAGATCTTAGCCACGCACTTATTCCCACGTCAACTCTGCAATACACTTCGGCGATGCGGTGGAACACAGAGTTAACTCGAGGAACACACCATGGCTCACGAAGACCGACGTGTGAGTTCCACTAGTATAGATGTCTGAGTAGAGCATTTTTTTTCATGATGTTGGGCAGTATATAGTTCCATAAATAATACAAAAAGTGTATTATAGCACGCAAAAGGCGTGTTAATGCATGTGGTTGTTGGGGGTCACACGTTTTCACAAGCAGGTACGTTATTGTCGAGCGCCGTCAATGCCGCTTGAACGGAGCTAAATATCACCGTATTGATCTACACGTGTTCACTGCCAAGTCTCAAAGCGCATTTAGTTCAGGATAGCTAAAACGTATCACGCACACAGTGTGCCCGTTAGCTTCGTAATCATCTCGCCTCAAAACTCGCGAGCAAATGTCACGAAAACTGCAAGCACAAATGCTGATGTGAAATGCCATTCGATTACAGATCGTAGCACTTGCCTTGGATGCTTACCGCGTATTTTATAGGTCCGAAATCACGAAAGCACTTCATCATGGCTTGTCCGAGGAACATGAGGAACGACATTAGGGCTATAATGCATGTCGCCACAGTCACGTTGCTGTTTCCTGTAGAGGGAGTAAAAAAAGAAGCGAACGAATCAGATAATGATTGACGAGCTGTGGAGTATACGTTGTTGCAACTTTTCGTCTTTTAAGGTTGTGTGCCGCTTTGAAGAGAAACGCCGTAGCGTGATGCCACAAAGATTGGTCAATGAGACAAAGCGTGTGCATTGCAGCATAAATAATGAAACTATACTGTGCAAGTTTAGAGCAAGCCAATTATTTCATTTCAAAAAAAAAGAAAAATAATTATGTAGGCATCATATTAAAGTTCCGCCAAAAGCTATTTAAAAGCCAATATAATGTAACAGTAAATTGAGCACCATAGAAATAGATTTCCAAAAATTAGACCGAACAAACGCTTAAATGGGTACTGAACACATGTGAGCAAAACATCGCAGCTCATTCAGAATTTCACACCACCTCAAGATTAAATTCGCTCTAAGGGCTCGCTTGGATTAGAGACGCACTGAACTAAACCAACCGCATATAACATTGTGGCAGCTTGGGCTAGTTGGTATGGCATGGCGATAGTTATAGCGCGAGAACAAAACGATGACACAGAGACAAGAAGGACACGAAGGACACGAGCGCTCGTGTCGTTCATGTCTCGCGCTATAACTATCGTCAACCGCAGATACTTGCACTGAAACTAACCAAGGTATTGTCACATCGCCACTCAGACTAATGGTTATATCTGTGTCTGTGCGAGTCTGAGTGAGTGGACTCATGAGAACGTCTGCCGACCTAAGGCACTTAACCACTTTTGAATGTAATAAATGATCCCAGTCATGACCTTGAAACGATGGCCCCCAGCATTTCTAAAATCCGTCAAGAACGATCAGAGTTGCTGGGATTTCTAGTAAAGATTAAAGCGCCTTCATTTATTTGTCTTTTCGACAATCTTGTCGAAAGCCAAACAGCGAGGAATGGCACAGGGAAAAAGAGTCGCGTCAGTGCGTCATGACTAGTCATGACTCGCGCGATGAAAAGGGATGAAAAGCAATTGCATTTCCCGCGTAGTGTGCGTCACTGTGAAACGTTAGCAGACTATAAAAAAAAATCAAATCATTTTATTTTCCCAGAAATAAACAGGTTCTGGAGAGATTCACTGGCTAAAAGCTGTTTATGGACAGCTTGACGAGGCCAGTGAACCCTATACAAGGCAGGTGGGACAATGCCAAAGATGTGTATAACAATAAAAGACCGTAAGCTAACATTACAATACCAAATACGGTGTAATAAAAACATATATATACATTCATACAAAACATCTTGATACCAGAATATCACAGAAGATTACATGGACGCGAACAAAAAGAAGAAAAAAAACAAAGAAAAAGCAGAAGAAAAATCCAACAACCATAACACCATTATTGCCAAAAAATAAAATAACAAAAATAAATAAATGATGAAAATATCAGGGAAGATATATACAAATTTGCTCCTTGTGTATGTGCTGCATCACACAATGTACATCACATGTCAGAGAAACAAATTTATACAGACAGAATTATATCATATAACCTATACGGTACAGCATGAATGCACACACTGAAAGAAAAATGAAATTCTACTATCGTACAGACAGCACATTTTGCAACGTAAAAAAGTTAGCCTATATTTACAAAAAAGGATCGTAGTTCTTTTAATGAGAAACTGTTTACGTGACTGTATTTATTGAGAATAATTGGTAAATTGTATTTCAATGTTTGAGATTTGTAATTATTGCGAAACCTCAGAATAATCCAAACATCACTGCTTCTTGTTCCTAACAAAACATTTTAAGCAGTTAGACATGCGGTATTTTTAATGAATTGTTTAAACGAAATGGAAGAGAAATAGCAGGATCGCAGAATGCGAAAGATATACATATATTCCACTTTAATAATACCGTAGTCCCGACACACAAGTTGTGTTGATGAAAAATAATCTAAATTAGCGACATGTCTAATAATTTTTTCCTGCATGGTCTGAAGTTTCATTATGTTAGTTTTTGTCGTGGTTGCCCACACCAAACTGCAGTAATTTATGTGCGAAAGAAAAAGAGCATGGTATATTTGCAGTTTCACCTTTGCGGGTAAGATATATCTACAACGAGCTAGCACACTAATTACACTAGAGGCTTTTTTGCAGATGTCAACGACGTGTTGGTTCCAGCTGAGGTTTGATGAAAACGTGACGCCAAGAATTTTATGTTCATCCACAAAACGAATGTCTTCACCTGCGTAAGCTAACGCCTGTATTGATGAAAATATTTTGTTTTTAGCTCGGAATACGATGGCTTTTGTTTTCAGTGGATTAATTTTCAATAAATTATTGCTAGACCACAAGAAAAGCTATGAAGCTCGCACCGTACTATGAAGTACGGTGCGAGCACGTGGCGGCCTCTTGGGGCATGAAGCGCATCTGGCTAAAACGCCTTTTTGACTTATGACGGCTGTAGACGGAGTTGCATAAATGCCAGCAACATTTGAAAAATCCCCGAAGTGTTCAGACAACACTAAGCTGAGCAACCACCGTGCATGAAAACCAGTTCACTACATTGAAAACACATGAAAGAAAACAACAAAAAACGTGACGGATCCCCCTAAAAATGAATCACTATAACACGAAAGTGAAACTTGTTTTTACAGAAGTAGTCGAGCGTTTATTGTGCAGTGTTTCTGCAACAGCAAGAAATTACTAAGTCACGTTAAGACAAACAAGCAGCCCAAATCTCGGAGCACTCTGCTCTAACAGAAAGCACGCAAGAAATTAGCATACAGAATATGAGCGGGGAGAAACAACTGTCACAGCTTGAGACATTTAGCGCGCCGTTGAAACGGAAAGACACACGAAACGAGCGCAGAACTACACAGGACAAGTGCGAACAACTGTCGTTATTCTTCCTGCGTCGAGTGTCAGCAGCGCCGTGCTCCTTTCGTAAAGCAGCCGCGGCAGCATGCGAAGTGACCTTCGTCCTATCTTGAGTTACGAGTCCGATAAACGCGCGGGCAGAAGAGACCACACTCCATGGAGGCGGCGCTTTGTGAACGCGACGACCTTTGGAGCGCGCCCAGCGTAAGCTCGTCGGGCCTTCTCGGCACTGATAACGAAAGCGCGCTAAAGTTTCGAAGCTCTGATCACTGCCAAACGGTTTGTGGTGTATAAATGGCTTGCCGTTAGCACATCCGGCAACGTGGCGTAGGGAGCCTTCATAAACACATGCCTCTCGCTCGGTTTTAGGGTAGTGTCAGCATTTGTAAGAGTACAGGCCCTCTCAAAATAATTCGGAACGCCGGAAATGCAGCCCACTCGCCTGCGGAGCGTGCCGAAAAAAAAAAAAAAGCAGTACGATGGTCTGTGCTCGCGCGGCCTCCCTAGTAGGCAAGCGTTGCTCCCTAGTGCACGTAGATTTGCATCGCGTCGCTACAAAACGGTAGGGCTGCAGGTGCCCGTGTAAGTTCGTGTATGTGTTTGTTTGGATTCTGCAGAATGCCATCGGGCTAGATGTATTCGACACCACAGCATACAGAAATAGATGTCCCTGATGTGAACCCACACCAACCCTGTTTCACATCACATGGTAGTGTACACATCACAATGGACACCACTACATGAACAACACAAAGGAACAATGGGAGGCACTTCTGTTCAGCTCGGCCATTGCTGATCAGCGCTGGCTGGTCCAACGGATAGAGATGATGGCTAGGGCCATGGAGCCCTGTAATAGGGGCCCGACCATTTGGAATGCTCCGCATTTTGCGCAAATAAAGTTTTTTTTGCTCTCTCTCTCTCTGTAGATGCCACTTTGCGCTTTGGTAAGGGGACGGGGTGGTTGGTGTGTGTGATAAGCTGTGTGTGAGCGTGCCTCGCGTTGCAGCATAAGCCTTTGTGCACGCATGCGTGTTAGAGTGCGTGTTTGTTGTTTTTTTCGTCATTTCGCCAGAATATTTGCCAAATGTGACTGGGACTAGTGCTGGCAAAGGGATGTGTTTTCATCTGATGTAACCATGAGCATCTATAGACCAAACACAGTTAAATTACGATTATTTGTTCATGTGGACGAATAAACCATGTTATTCATGTTATAAATATATATCACCTACGATGCTGTTTATTTAGCTGAGACACACTATCGCTGACTAGAATAATATACCGCCTCAAAGGAAAATAAAATGAATGTATGTGGCAACAAACTATGACATGTGACCTAAATGTAAAAAAAAATACACGTCACCAAGCGTCCAAATTCTGGAATTGATTGATGCGCGAAGATAAGCGATCCGCGATATGTGGTGCGTGAATGAAAAAAATTCGATTGATTGATATGTGGGGTTTAACGTCCCATAACCACCACATGATTATGGCAGACGCCGTAGTGGAGAGCTCCCGAAGTTTCGACCACTTGGGGTTCTTTAACGTGCACTAAAATCTAAGCACACGGGCCTCCAGCATTTACGGCTTCATCTAAAGTGCAGTCGCGGCTGCCGGGATTAGATCCCGTGACTTGTAAAAAAAAACAACTCTGGAGTAGTGAGAAGCCTAATAAGTTTCGCATAAAATCGGTCCTTTGCCTTAAATTTGCGTTCATAAGCATGCCGCCTTATTGCAGTTTTGAAATGCTTTATCGGCAATATCCCAAACATTTGTAAGGGAATCCAAGATGGTAGAAATTGTCCTCGTATTAGCAAGCTAGTAAAAACACGGATCGCGAGGTAATTGAAGCAAGAATCAATACTTCAGAAAAAACTGGAGACTAACGCGGTTTAAACAAGGCAGAGATGCTGTTGTAGCCATGCCGCCTTTCTCACACGTAGTTTTCCGGAATGAATGCTGCCAATCGCAAGTGCACGCCACGAGGAATCGGCTAGTTTTCATATCAATGGATTAGGGAGGACGGCATGCTAAGAGTCCGCATTCGTACAGCCCTCATTGACGCGAACAACACCTAGCGCTATCCGTTTGTAACGAAACAACGCCAATCTAGATGCACTAGGGTGATACATTTACTCGCTATGGTA